CAAATATTATTTACCCAAAGCTCGAATCTATGTAGGTGAACTTTAATTGCGGTAAAACGATAAAAAAATCAAGTCATAATGTTTCTTTTCCGCTTACGCGCCGGAGTCACCATACTGACTATATGCCAATGTTCTCCGAATTAAATTCAAATTCAAGAAATGAGCTATGAATGCATTCTTGTAGCTCGGAGAGATAATATCTTGCAGTGCTTGCGGTAGGGGCATATCAAACGTAGGGATCATTCTGTCTGTGTGCTGATGTTCCTTGCATTCAATTTGAAATCGCTATAGCTCGACTTTCCGGTTCAGACAGATATTCTACTGTCACTTCGTTCCTCACACTTTTCCTACTTCTTCCAGATTCGAATTTATTATAATTACTTCGATACGTCAAAACCCTACTGCTTGCGATTTTTACGAGAATGTTCTAAAATTGCAAATTTTTTTCTTAATGAATTATTCAAAACAGAGCATTATATGGACAGCAGTCGCGAAAATTGTCTGATCTGTTCACTTTTAATAAGGCTAGTTCCTTGGCCAAATTTCGCAAGCGTACCAAATTTGGTCGGAATATGTAAAAGTTACTGCCGACAGGTTGAACAGACAACTGCATAATTTTTTGAATCGACTACTGTAATAAATGACGCCTATATCTGAAGTCCCTTTCTATGTAGCGTACAAATCTCACTTTGCCAATCTTATTTTATACATCATATATATACTCTGTTCTTGGAACGAATCGGTAGAAAGTAAATAATTAAAAATCTAGCCTGAAGGTTGCAAACACTGAATTAGAACCAAAGGCGTCAGTGACTTTGTTGAAGCGCGCATCATCTCTGCTGCAGGTAAATATTTGAAGGGAAAAGCTATAAAAAGACATCGATTTTACATTTCGTACAAATATTCAACGGAGCCATCAACATATACAGTTTGAAATTAGTTTTATTTCGCATCTGAAGAATATTTAAGAAAAGAATGGAAATTGTTCAGAGGGAGGGAAAATCCTCAATCCACACAAAGCGAATGTAACTTTGTTACTTGTCTTGATCTCCTTAAACAAACAGGACCTGTTTCAGTTTCCACAAAAATATATTCAGAATATTTTCAAATTACTTTCGCAAAAGAAAAGTTTAATTTCTCCTAATTTTCAATTCTTATGTTTTGAATTAGATAACAAACAATGCTAGTTTTTACCTGTGACTGCAAGGGGAATAAGAAAGAAGGCACAATGCTTTCTTTGGCCCGGATTACATCAGGCTTAATAGAGTTACGAACTTTTCGTTGCGAGATTTTTTATGAAATCTTTTGAATATCGCTGACACAACAATTAGGAGTAGAATGTCGGACGACCAAATAAGACCTAATATCGTAATAATTTAACTTAAAAGAAATATACTAAAATAAGTTTGAAAACAGTGTCAACAAGCAATGAATATTTCATGTAAAACTAACGCATCAACGAATTGTTGAAAAGAAAATATCGCGAGCTTTACTGAGTCGTTTTAGGCCAATGGTCCAACGGGTTATTGAAATCTAAATAGATCCGGCAAAACTGAACTTTAACTGGAATTTGAGTTCTGCTAAGCAAAGAATATTTTCAAAGGTGGAAAGAATAAACACTAGTTAATCACATTCTCTGCCAATATCCCTACCAATCGCAACTTCAATTAGTAAAAGAATTATATTGAGCCACGGCTGAATCTTCTAGTGCCCCTCGTACTGATTCCAAAATGAAACTTTAAAAAACAACGAAAAAACTAAATTTCCATATTGTACAGCACTAGGCGAACGTGACAGGCTTTTTTCTTGAGAAAAAATAGAAATTTATGTCGTGCATCTGTTGCTGTACGAGTAACGAGTTGAGTAACGATCGGTATCTTTATTTTCGCTAACGGGAGAATGTTTACGACAGATGAGACGCAGTTTGACAAACGCGCTTAGGGGCATTCCGAATTTAGAATTGGCCAAGAACTTTTGAACTTCGCTTTTGTGTATTACTAAAGTTTTAGTAAAAAATAAAATTTAATAAAAAATATAATTTTTAGTAAAAATTATAATTTTTTGGGAGACGTGCTCAATTTTTTTTAATTTTCGTACGAGTACTACAGAATCGCCGATAAGAAGTACATTCAAATTGCTTTGTTGTTTATCTGGTGTAGTTTGTCAGGAATAAGCAAAGAACGAATGCGGCATTGCATAGACGGAAAGACGGACATGCTTAAAATTTTTCCGAATTTCATCCTGATCAAGAATATGTAATATATACTTTGTGCGATCTCTGAAGCTTCCTTACAGTCATTGCAAACATATTTACAAAGTGAATATACCGCTTATCTTTCGGTGATAGGTATAAAGATGTCAGGATCTCGCATACCCGCTACTACGCTTTTGCCATTATACTCCTCAAGTCCTTTTGTTTGATACCCATATCGTCGCTATTATTAACAAAAATTACTCATATCTATTTTAGAATTGACGCATTTTTAGGCAGATAACATATCTGCATTTGGGGGGGTGCACCAAATAGCTTTTGTCTTGTTTGCCTTATAATAAATAAGCATTAAACCTCAAAAATGTGAAAAAACTACAATTTAATGACTCGTAACTTTATGTTGGGGCGGCCGATTCATTTCCTTTTTTGAAGCTAGAGAGAAAATTACTTCGTAGTATAAATTTTAATAATTTCCGCTCTGACCAATTTGGCCCATTCCCAATACTAACTTGGGTGCAGAAACTTCCAAAGTGTCTGCCAAATTTGAAGTCGGTATCTTCATTTTTGCGACCTGGAGAGTGCCAACAACACACACCACACAGACACACAGATGGACAGATGTGGCTAAATCAACTCTGGATTTCACGCTGATCAAAAAGTATATATACATTACAGGATCTCTCAAGCTACCTTTTGGGTCCTATGTACATTATGGAAAAAAACAAAATGAGTATAACTCCATCTCCAATCAGTCAAAAAAAAAAAAAAAACAAAACAAAAACGTCCATTCCCGACATAACCGCATTATTAGAATCAAAAGCCAATTAAAAGTGGTAAGAACAAGATAAGTATGCTCACAAAAATCGAAACTTTTTCGTTACAATTATCTGTTTGAACACGAACTCACACAACTAACTGTATTTGCAAGCGTTCAACAATATCCGACTGAAATTGAATTGAAACAGAGCTTATACCATAAAGTAGATTCAAACAGGCATTGGCTTAATCATATTCAAACGTCAGTCGCTGTTAGCTTATAAGCCGCAAACCATGCTCGTCACTATTATAACCAAAATCACTTGTTTCAGTAAACTGTTGTTCAATGCTTGGAAGCAGGCGCGATTAACAATTTGAATTGGATTTTTAATCTCTCGCTACTCTCTAGACCGATATGTAAGTTTCCATTTCATTGTGAAACATCACGTCATTCATAGCCGTCGCTACGTGCGGGGATGCTTAAACCCGATAAGAATTATGATTGTACTCCTTTGTTCTTTCCTTAAAGCTTAGATTGAATGCGCTTTTGTATATATATATATATATATATGTATACCTATATATATGAATACCTATATACACATATATATGCTTGTTTTGTATTACGTTCTGCGACAGTTTGCCGTGTTGTTGCATTAAACTAAAGGGAATTGCGTGTTGGTTCAATGTCGTCATGCGTGACATTGCTTAACTGACTTTGCAAATGTTTAACCGTTGTTGCCGTTGCTGTTGTTATTGTTGCGGTTTTTGCCACGTCGCATATTGGTTAGATGCGTGACAAAATTAGATAATGACTTTGGCTCCTCACAGCGGTAGACAGATTTTCGTGTGCTTAGATGAAAATTTGCTGAAATATAAATTCTTATAAACTCTATAGAAATGCTACGAAAGTTTTTTTAACCACTGCAGGAAGCACACATTTGTAAAGTTTTTCCGCACCTCACATTGTATGAAATATGTAATTAACATTGATAAGTGTACGTCGCGTTGATGATAGCCATCCATCCGTCCGCCGGTTATTGGGAATTCCATAATTGCACAAGTTGAGATACAAAGGTCAAATTTGATTTATTACGCAGTAAATTGATTTTTGAAGCAAGCATCATACGCACCAATGCAATTGAAAGGCGGTCAAAAGGGCCTTGTTTGTATAGTACTGAGATTAAAAGGTGATAAGACTTTTCCTTTTAAATCGGAGGGGTGGGGGGGTCCCCAAACGAACAATTCCTAAGTCACTTTGGCGTCAAGCCTAAGCTGATATCTTCAGCTTATAATGTTAATAAGGTACGATTTTTATCGCTAAGCGCTATGTAAGGAAAATTAATGAAAAAATCGTCGACTGACACCACTAACGACAACAGACAGTTATCGTTGGGACCGATATCATCACTTTCAACCACTGTTTGGTTCTTCAGATAGTTTAACAATAACTCCTCTTCCCACCCGACATTTGTTCTTCGAAACTTTTTCACTCAAAAAGTCAATTCAAATCGTTCGGTAGATACGATCTTTAGTAAAAATATTGGCATAAAATTTGACATAGATATCAATGAGGATAAAAAAAAAAAAAAACAAAACAAATTTGAATATTCCCGCACATCTTAGATAGAAAAGTCGCACTGCTTCTTGATAACGATGCTAAAATATGCTCTAGACTGAAGGCTACGCGCTCGGATGTGACTCTATTTGCTGTGTTTGCTAAAAAGGCGATAAGAAAGTCGATTAAAATGTAATTTCACCGATAAAATTGTCAATAACTTGGAATCCCAAGCAAATAATGATTTGAACGATATGTCGCTTATATGAACGAACGTAGCCATCGCGGAAAATCTTTACTTGAGATAACGATTGTTGCCTGAAATTTACATCAAAATGCCTATTACTGTCCTATTTTGAAAATTGAATTATTTAAGGTCAGCGGCTCTCCTATCTGTTTAATTCTAATGCATATAATATTTATTTTGGCTTGGTTTTATTTTCTGGTTTTCATCGCGTATTGTTTTGTGTCAAGGATTACCATGATGACATACGTCAAGAACAAATGTGGGAAATGCAAGTTTTAACCTCATCATCAACGTTAAACAATAACAATGAGGCAGTGAGTCCCAATCGTTTAATAGAGGGCGGTATAACCGATATGGATACATCGAACGATGACAAGTCCGATAATGAATTAACTGGAATGGATTGTACGACATCGGAGAAAAATGAGAATCCGGCATTAAGGATAAGAAATAGTACAAATACGGGAATGTTAACATCAAATGGAACAGTACAAGCAAACACAACAGCAAGTAAGTCGAACGATATAAAGATGAAGAATATTTTTTTTGATTTTTAGTTATAAAATACATACATTAGTACATCCTTCTGTTATGGCTGCAGCTTTACAGCATCAATTGTCGTCAGCGGCAGCAAGCTTAAGTGGTTTAATAAAACCTACACCGGCCAGTATGGCCGCTGCCGTTACGGGTTTAACGACGGCAACACCGGCTGTAGCAACAGCCGGCCTTACTATACCTAACGAAGCTGATACCACCGCCTCCACTTTAACTTTTTTAGAGCCACCAGGTACAATTTTGCATCCAGCCTTGAGAAATGTTAAGACCATAAACATCGGTATGTGTTTATAAATAATATATTTTCGAAAATATATCATCTATTCTTATGAATTTTTATTTATTTATTTATTTATTTTTTTTTTAATTGTTATGTGATTGTTATTTTTTTTTTTAAATTTCAGCCGGTAATTTAACACGTAAACGTCCGTTATTGGGGGTACCACGTTCCAGTATGAATCAAACCAAACGCACGGTTATGACTCTATTAGCTCGTGCTAAAACCTCACAAACGTTACATACGATTAGGAATCCAGTAGCCGCAGCCACAGCCACTGCATTCTCGGAGTAAGTTTAAAAATACATTTTTACAACCTTCACGGACGTACGTCTCATTCTTGTGTTGAAAGGTGCAGGAATATGTTTCAGAAATTCAATGTAAATAAATATTTTCTTAATGAAGTCTGAGACTCCGAATACCGCCGAGTCCGTCTGTTCTTCCACTTAATGTCGACAACTATCACATTAGCAAGAAACACGTCACGTATTTTTAGTTGATCATTTATGATAACTTTTGAATTTACCAACACATGCGTCCTCTTTGTTCATCCATTTGCCACCGTAGTGATGGCATAACGAGAATTACAGCTGAAGCTTGACACACATCGCTTCTTTGCCAACCTGATTCGGTCTCACCATGTTTTTCCATCTGTCTGTTGCTCTGGCGGTCGCAATGGTTGAACTAGAGCTCAAACGTATGGCGCAATTTTTATTCAATAGCCTGGATCCGCATTACTTCGTTTGTATATCATGTTACTGTCTATTAGAGAATAGTAACATGTAACAAGGAAATAAAAGATTTCGGATTTTAGATTGGAAGCGAGCCAAAATAGTTTAAAATTTTTGTGCATTAATTAAAAAAATCGTTTCAAGAAGAATTCTTTTTGTTACTTAGTTATTTCTGAAATAGCGAAAAACAATTACAGGAAATATCAATTGGAATTAAGTTTTTTCAACGTACGTATCGCCTCACCAACGGCACTTTGCCTTATGCTGTTTTGAAAACAATTCAAGATGGGTACACTTTTTTTTAACCACATATTTGAACCGTCTCTTAAAAGATGCCCACTGTATATGTAGGCACGTTAGTGGGCGAGGAAGAAGGGGACAAAAGGAGGGTAGTATTTGTGTATGTACGACTTGGACAAGCACACATCTGACGGAAAAGGCCACACCAGGTATATGTTTTCAAAGTTGAGTGTTTCAAGAACGAGGTGTCATGTTGTCTTGTAATATGTTGTGCATTATGCAAACAATACTAGGGCTGGGTAGCTGAGAATGATGGGAAGTCGAGTAATCTTATTTAAGAGTTTAAGTGGACAAAATTCTCCAGTGTTCGTGGAATACTGGCTGTGCCTACTTGGCCTTGATTGTCTCTTTCAACATTTCGAATACATGTTCCGCCAAAAGAGGGGGGCGCCTATCGATTCCGTTGCAATCGCATTTTAGTACCGTTAAAATTTACTCTATTTGCCCGAACCCATTTGCATGTCTTGTTGCGGTTTCGATTAAGTCTCTCCCTCACTATCCACCTCCCACTTTATAGCGCTACTCAAAGTGCTGCCACCCGCAAACGGATAAGTATCGAATATTTTGAACAATAACTCTCATTAATCTTTTTTTCTTAACAAATAAATATTGATTTAAACTCTATATATAACGGCAGCAATCTATCTATGACGAGCAAAACTCACTTATGCCTAATACTTGCTTTACATTTCGCAATTAACTAAAGTTTCCCACTTGTTGCTCACCATTAATATCTCTCTGTTAGCTACCGAGAATTCATAACAAAAGGCTTTCAACTGTCAAAGCTTTCAAATAATTGCTTTTGTCAATGTTTCAATGTGCACTAGAATGAGAATGAATGAGAGCCTGAAACGCGTCTGATGGCATTGTTGCAGACGTGCACTTGACAGCACGTATTTGTCAAATGTCTACAATCGCTGCTACATCTTATCTGTAAGTCCTTAGGTATAAATTATATCAGTTAATTACCTGATCTGTCAAAAATAAGTATTTTAAAACTTTATGTTGACCATCATCGTTATGTTGATGACCTAAAGCATATAAATACACGCATTTACGGCTCCAGTATTTCGAGTTAGAGAAACTTCTGATTGAACTTTCAATTTAATTGAGTCGAACGTAAATTTTGCACCCTTTTGATTACAACTGCGGTAAACTTAAATATACTTTTTTTACATATCTTTACAATCACTTATTATGCGTACTTTGCACTAACTCGGTAAGCGAATGCTTCTCCTCGAAGTTACAGGAAATTCCACAGAATTCCAACAAACGCGTGAATGTCTTTGGATTGTAGCTACAGTGAGTAATCCACTTGGCTGCGGCCGCTCCCTACCTCCTTCTCTCTTCCAACTTTTTTTTAACCGTCACTATGGTACACACGAGACATCCTCTGCGTGATTGACTACCACACCAACCGCCACTGAAGAAGCGCGTACAATGGATTCACCTTTATGCTCATTTATGTTACTCATAGTTTGCGAAATTGCACCTGTCAAAGGCGTTCCAAATCAAGTTGTCTCTACAAAATTTGTTCTCTCTTCTAGAAAAGTTTTCCCCACTCCTTTTTCATATAGACAAGAAAGCTTAGTCTCACGGCTCCTACAAGGTCGATGAAATGTCTATTCACCTGGCTTGCGTCCACTTCCTTCATATCCTACACATATATACTCTATTTATTATTTTTTTAGTCAGCATGAGCCCGCTGAGGACTCATTTGCTGCATGCACACTCATAATGGAAAAAAATTGAGTTACCACAAAGTTGAGTACAATCTTCAGTGCGCAAATGCGCGTAATCCGCATACAAGTGCGCATGCTTTTATCTTTGTATTGCAGTTTTCAAAGAAGGTCGATATAAAAATTTTTACAATTTCAGGTTCTATGTGTTTTCGTTTGCTTCTTTTACTTTCTCGTTAAAACTCGTGGGTTCTGAAGGATTGAGAATTTCAAAATTGGCGCACCTAGTCTCAGTTGGACTTGAGAGAGATTCACCTTTTTTTATACCGATTGATCTAGAATCGTTTTCTGATTCGATTTAAGCTTATATGTCCATCTATCCGTCTTGTTCTCACGTGGTCCTTTTAAAGGCCGTCATTTATGAAATATATTTATGAAATTTAGTTCGCGAACGAGTTTGCCACAAGGACTCTATTGAAAGTAGTCCAGACAACACCACGCTTTCGGGCATGCCACCCAACTCGGCTTATTTTGAAAAGTCGCTACATAAAAAACCAGCTATAACAGGTGGTATAGGCTACTTGATGGTGAACCGTGGCCCACTCCTATTTTTTTTTTCTATGATTCTATGCCATAAATGTGTTGTAGGCAAAAACCGTGTATACAAAACTGCGGGCTTAACGCCTTATTAAAAAGACATCTGTATAGATATGTAGCATAAATATTGCTTCCCCATAGATATATACGTAGTGTTGTATAGACAGTTGAGGTTAATGGAATTAATTTCATTTAAACATTAATACAAACCGATTTATTTATTTACTTAATCGAGCTAAATTGAATGAATACATATGTGGATAAAGTCCATAATGTTTTTAGAAATGACATGTCTTCGAATGTCATATGCCAAAGTTTCAAATCATTTGGATCATTTGTCTCGTTATTTTCAAAACAATGGAACGATCCAAATTTCTTATTTGATGCTTTCTGATCGCAAAAAGTGTTATCGCCGATCCTCTCCGTCGCAAACAACATTTTATTGGCGGTTTCCTGATTTTAGACAACGACATAGTGGACACCAAAAGAAAGTACAGTCACGCTAACAAACGTCAAAAGGTCCTCAAAATTATTTTTGATAATCGCAAAGGTAAGTTGCAAGAGATAGCTGATAACTAAAAGATATCAAAAAGTGGTGTGGTTTTCGTGGAAATTTGAGCGCGCAAGAGCCCAAATCTGTTCAAATAGTCATCCCTTTACTAGAAATGGAGTGAAAATATCAAAATGTTACTGACGGCAAAATTGCACGACTTAGAGCTTGAATTTCTCCTACAGTCTCCGTAATGTGCAGATTTTCTTTCTACGGCCGTTACTGTATATGTTGCGAAACCATGCTTTAATTAAAAAAAATTGGATCAAATGATGAGCTGATTGGGAAAACCGAAGCTTATGTTGAAGGTCTTGACAAATTACTCTATCAACAAGTGGAAACGTTGTAGTGGACCATGCCCTTGGCCCGCATCATTCGTTTAAATGCACAATTGTTCACGTAAATATATGTTGCGAAATAAAAATTATGTAAATGAGAGGAAAAGTGCTCCGATCCGAACCGTTTTCAATATCGTTCGTCCTTGGTACGAACGGTCGATATACCAAATTTCATGAAAACATATCAAAATTCGGGACCTGTGCAACATACATAGGAGAATGTCAGACGGCCAGACAAGCTTAGATCGATTCAGGAAGTGATTATGAATCGATCGGTAGAATAAAGAGTGATTTTACCCCAAGCATAAGAAGGCATCGAAATATTAGCGAACTTTTTGATGTTGGATTATTTCACGCTTGCAGAAAACCATACTAACGCATAAAATCATATTCTGCAGAAAGATGGATTTTGCTTGCTTAGTATCGGATACAGTCATCGAAGCTATGTTTTAAAGTATTCAGATTAATAGTGATTCCAGCGTACTGTTTTTTAACTAGATATTATTTACATATACAATTTAATAATAAAATTATTTATAATTTTCTATTGTCATTGCAGTCCTTTACGAATGTTAGCTTCTCCCTTTATAATACCCCACCAACCCATGGAGCAATCTATGTTAGCCTTGTCTAAGGAGTCCTTAGCCCAAGGCGTATAAAAACGAAATCCTATTCGACTATTTTAATTGATTTTAATCCTCGAACCAGCCGTATACACTATGGTGAACTGTTTAGCTTTTCTGTAAGTATATCAAAAGAAAAAAGGAAAAAACACGAAACTGCGATTCTAATTTATCCCGCCCTCATTCGAAAAATATATATATATATGCATATATATATTTAAAGAAATAACTGAATTAAATAAGTTTAGAAAAATTTTGAAATTAAAGGCTATTTACGGAAGAGATTTTAAAGCGAAATAATTCTTGAGAAGATTTCGACGGCCCCAAGGCAAGTTATGAAAAAAACAAAAGAAAAAAGAAAACGAAAATTTCTTTTTTAAATATTTTCGTTCTTCTTTTTATTATTTAATTATTTCATTTTTTTTTTTTTTTTTTAATACTTACTATACTAATAAATTGTGAAGGCAGTCATTTGAATGAATTGAAATGAAGTTGATTTACTTTACAGTATGAAATAAATAAAATAAAAAGAAGCAAATAATAGCAAAATTATTTCAATGAACAGAAAAAATTTACCAAATTTAGGGACTAAACGTAATATTAAGCAAAACAAATAAAAATATTGAACGGAAATAAATAAATTTATGAATAAAGCAAAGCAAAAATATGACAAACACTTTATATACATGAATATGAAGAGTAGTTATATAAAAATCTACATATTAATAAATACATAACTACTTATACATAAAAAAAAAAAAAAAGTTATTTACAAGATAAACAAACAAACAATGAATAAATATATTAAATAAACGCATGTTTTTAACTCAAGTGACGAAAATTGTTGAGTAAAATCTTCGCATAACAACTAATCAATGTTGAGGTGTAAATTTTATTCGAGTACTCAAACCCCTTTTTATTCAGAAATTCAGTAAGTTTATCACTCATCTGCAGGATATCTATCATTTATATGTGGATATCGAGAGAGTTAGTTAAACATAATCTAACAAAGATTTAAGGGAAGTATGGTAGGTGCATCATTCTGGTTGATAGAAGACGGATAACATGGAAGCGGGAGAAGGAGGGAGAGCTAGATATGATTTTTCCAGTGTTATACGAAAGAGAAACAGATAAACAAAAAAATGCATTTTGTGTGAGAATGAAAGGAGACAAACAATGCAGACAAAACCTATGAAGAATATTTGGTGAGGTTGAGTTACCTTTTAATCTCTTTTATTTTTTCCACCTATTCACTACTGTGCACACACGTACACGTAGAGGCATTCATGAATACGTACTTGTCTATAGATAGAAACCACCTCGATTCATAGTCATATGAGAGTAATTAAGTAAAATAAGCGAGTCTGGAAACCAAATTCATTCAGTTCAAATGTGGATTGATTCGGAGGCTATTGCTGAAACTGAATACCTTGTTTGCACTTTTGAATAAGAAAACAAGCAGAAGAAAGCAAAGGAAACAAAGATGGCGGATTTTCGCCTCGACGTATATTATTGCTGTCAAATGTGTACACATGCGACGAGAAGAATTCAAATCGGTCCTGTCTGAGACACAGATCGGGGTCTACATCATGAAAACTCTTTCAGCCATAAGAAGTGTGTGGAGAAACCTGGCAATGTGGTAACATACTAACCAGTGAAAAAAGTATCAGACTTATATTTCCTTACAGCCAAAATTTTTATATCGTTTACTTTTATCTTAAGATAAACAGTAAAAAAATCCAACAAAATATTTATTGAGTGAGCATGGTCGACTTTTTAGATTTGTTTACAGCTGCTATGGAGCCACCCGTACAAAATAACTGGATATTTGTTATTGCTGTTGTTGTTGTTTATGAGTAATAAGTAAAAAAACCCAATTGCTTTGTTTTTGAGCACAGAAATATTCTTCCCTTAAATTGTATTGTAGCCGTATCTTTTGACTGCTTTAGCCCACTTTTAATGTCAATTTGCATGCAAGGATTTTCAATATTTTCGCCAAATGTAAACTCGACATGTTAGTTTTTACGATCGGAAGAACGTTTATCACAAACAGACGCACAGACCGACAAACAGAAACACTCGGAATTTCTGATTTAGACTCATCTCAAAATGTAATGCTGTTCAAGACTCTTGTTCTCTCTCTCTCTTGTTTAAAACATAAAGCGGAGAGAGCCAAAAGGAAATTTTCTGTTTACGTCACTGAACTCTTCATTTCAGTTATACGGCTTTCAGCTCTTAACATAAAGTTTTTCCCGCAAAATCCTCCAACGATTCTTTCATTTGTACTGTAGTGCGTCAGAGACATTGTATGCTGCTTATCTTATTTGCTCTTAAGATCACCAAAAAAAAAATCCTGCTTTGAGATCGAAATTTCACAGCTCCTAATTATCATAAACACGTCTCGCGTTTCATCCAGTAAAAAAGTCGCAAGTAATCGCACGCCAGTAATCTGTATTAAATAATAAAAAAGAAGGGGCGAAAAACGGAGAGAAGGGAAAGTCACAACAAAAGACATTATTATCGTTAAGTAATAATAAGAGAGGAAATAAGGGAAAAACGAGAAGTTCAAAGAAGACCACTTTAATAATGCAATTATACGCTTCTCTGGAAGCCGCAATGACACATTAATGGTTAATTGAACTTTTAAAGCAACCACAATTTCTCAACTTTTTTTCAGCACTTAATCTATCGTAATCCTCTTAAGAGTAAAATATTAAAATAGCGTTTGTTATTTATAAGAGCGCTACAATAAAGCAAAGTGCACCAAGATATTAAAGTCAAATGTTATGAACAATAATGGAAAATGTTTCGAATTAGCATTGACTCACAACAAATTCGTATCGATCAGCACAAACATTCCGGATCCTGCTTAGAGTGCTTTTTCTTTCTTATGTTATATTCAAGAAAGGAAAAACACTTCGTTTTTTCTTATAACGATGGTCAGCTCCATCACAACATCTAAAAGTCTATATTTAAAATTTCATAAAATAGAAGGAATATATATATATATATATATATATATGTATGTATTTCAATATGTTATCTTACAAAAGTAGGAACTTGTGGTAGCAACCTAATACTTGTCATACTGCTTCCTGGGTGAGCTCTCCCACAGAAACGTTCACAGGCAAAAATTGCAAAGACCACAAAGGAAAATTATGAAAAAGTTTATTACATTTCACAATAAGCAGGTCACGACTTATCGGAAATGTCAATGCTCATGCATATCAAAGGCTATGCATGCAATGGATACGTTTTTCTTTTCTGTTCGTTCCTCTAGCCTCCACTCTGTTCATTGTACTGGTTGTTAATGTCCATGATTATCGACTACATAAGAGCATCGAACACGCAAAGAAACGAAGGCGGTGGCATAATCTCATTTCCCGGCTTGTTACCATTTTCTGACGAGCAGTGTTAATCGGCCCAAATATCGTATATAACAACAATTAACTTATAATGATTCGATATAGTGGGTATCCAAGATTCGCTTTAAAGCGACCATAACGCACTTGCTTATCAACTTTTTATTTGGGTACTTGCCTAAAACGTACACCTAAACATTAATAAAAGTCAGTTTAAAGTCAATATATAAAAAAAAAATTTAATCAAATAACCTGAGAAAACGAAATTACTTTAAAATTTACTTTAGACTATAAAAACTTAATGAGAAATAAACAAAATTATTAAAGAATTAAAAATAACATTGAGAAGAATAATAAAAAAAAAAAACAAAACAAAAATACATTAAATAAAGCTATGATCGCTATTTATTGATAAAAAATAAAAATACTTAATAAAAAGATATTTAAGTTGAACGAATTTATTAACACCAGATACTCACTTAATTGCAATAATATTTTTCCTTAAACAAAATATACATATATAAATAAAAACACAGAAATATTTTTGAGTGATATAATGAAAAAAAAAAAAAAAAAAAAAAAAACAGAAAGGAAAATTCATTATATTTTACTCTAGCAAGAGTAACGGTTTCAAGCAGGTCTTAAAAGGGGTGCAATTGTTGTTAATGGTTCGTATATATATTTTATGTGCATATATGATACACTCCACTTCTTCTTTTTCTTCTTCTTCTTCTCTGTCTCTCTCCTTCTCTTTCTCTTTGTCCCTATGTCCCACACGAATACATTACCTTTACAGATGTTTTCACACGATTACTATTGTATTTTTATTACAAATGGAACGTGGGAAACAATTTATAAAAATATAGACGAAAAACTCCATATATCACACATCCAAGAAAAAAAAAAGAAAAAAAAAAAAGAAAAGCAAAACATAATAGAAAAAAAAATGATATATATTTCCTACACCTTTTTCGATCTCTTGAACATATAAACTTACATGCAATAGTTGCTTAAAATGTCACTCAAAGTTTAATTGATTATTAATAATAAAATCATCGTAGAGCAAGATGCACTTATAACTTATATAAATGCATAAAGTCATGTAATCCCACTCCTTTAACCTTAATTGTAAGTCACGTATTCAATCCTTTCACCCCTAATATGCATCGATAAGCACGTTACACTTGAAATTATTTTAAATCGTAAATTGAATTTTCAACATCCATCGCTTTTTTTTTTACACACTTCTTGAAGAGTTTTAGAAGTTGCTTTTTTTTGTAGTTTGGAAAACTACATTTCCGAAATAAAAAGGAAGCGATAATGAGAGTCCGCTAATCACAACGAATTGATTCAAATATCTAATTGTACGCAAAACAACAACTAAGACAATTTATTTGATCGCAACCGAATCTTTTGTACCCATTGCCGTGTTATCCTAAAAAAAGACAAAAAAAAGGGAAAGAAAGAAATTTTCATACTCCATAATAGTGGGTGGGCGCGGCTGCTGTTTGTGTTCTGTTGTAAGAGTAACAAGCAAAAAACACAAAAAGCAGGTTTGCAGTTTTTGTTGCATAGGTTTCATCGGCTTTGACTAGTTTGGCTCATTTTCAAGTTCTTTTGCAAATTTGTAGGTGACATCTTCCAATTTGGGAACGGGTTAATGATAGTACACAAATGGACAGACAAACAAGCGGATATGCTTAGGTGCTGTCAAATTTAAAACTGGCCGTGAATTTATATACCTTATGACGTGTATGTACCTATATAGCTACAGGTCGCTTCTGCGCATTGTAAAGGTATTGAAAAAAATTAAACTTTAACACTACATAGGCGTGGTGAATTTTTTCACTTTTTGTACAGGTACTACAGCATCGCTCATAGAATATATTTTCATTAAGAGCAAAAAACCAAAGTGACACTGCGGCCTTATACAGACGGACAGACGGATGGTTAGGCAAGCGGACAGACTGACGTGCTTAAATTAATTCAGAATTTGGTGCTGATCAACAACATATATACGTTGTCTCTGAAGCTTCCTTCTCGGCGTTGCAAACGTACTTCGGTAATGGGCACGAAAGGGTTAAAAAATTGTATTTACTTCATGGCGTATTTTCGATTTTTTCAAGTTCTAATTGATATATCGCGCAAGTGTGAACAATCGTAATCTTATCTATATAA